AAAAAAAAAATGAAATGTTAATTAAAAACTGGAAAAAAAGCCGGAAAAAAAATATATAATCTTTTCTTCAGCCCACACGATTATATCCGCAAAACAGAGTGCTTTCCAGTTTTTAATTAACATTTCATTTTTTTTTTAAATAAAATGTTGTTTGTTATTTTTTTTACTTATTATTTCCCACCCCCCTTTTTTTCATATGTCTATAATTTTTCTTTATTTTATTCTTCATTTTGAACTCATCTAATGAGTTCTGTTTACTTGCAGCTTAAGCGCAATAAATGAAACTTATTGTTTCTCTTAACTTTCTTAGTGTTTTCTTGTATTTATATATATATATATATGCTGATTAACTTTATCTTCATTAATTTTTTTTAAAGCAAGTCATATGGTCTGCTTCTAACATATCTAAAAAATGCTGGGCAGAAAATAAAAACTTTTCTAATTTACTTTGTGCATTGCAAGATCTGCAGATCAATTATAGAATTTTACAATTAGCCAACGGCCTATAGAAACGGATCTTCGAGATCCAAGATCCGATCCACGAGATACAGCTTCCAACCGGAAGTTATTGTCAACTAATCATTTCACTGAGGCCTGCAGAATGCCATCACAATATGCAATAGGATGTAAATCTTACTGAATTTTGTTATTCAGTTATTATATCAACAAAATTTAGCGCTTTAGTTATAGCTTATCTACGGTAAGAACTCCCCCTCTGCAAAGTCTGGGTCTGTCTGATGCCTTGGAAACAAGAACAGCTCATTTCTGGGAGGGTAGTTTCTCGTCACTCTAGGACTGTGTATTGCAAGATGCCTTGTGTGTAATTCTTAACTATTTTCTTTTATCCAGCAACTAGCTCCAGCTCTCAATTCGATCCCATTGATACCTTTATTCGAGTGTAGTATTTAGTAAGTAAAAATGAGTTCGAGATGTTAGATATTACGTTACTATAAGGGTCTGTTGGCCTAAGCGTAACAACACCAATATTGTTTTAGTTTATTTTTATGTTAAATTTTTGAACGATATGTTAAATTATTAGGGTCCGTTGACCTTCTTTCTGGTGTATTTCAATGTTTTCGTTGTTACTGTAACATTTTTAACATTTTATTTCTATATACTTGCTGTCAAATTAAGAATTGTTGTTGTTCCATTGTATTCGGCGAATGGGCCTAGGCCGCTGTAAAATTTTCCTTCACTCTAGGGCTAACACAGTAGACGGAAGAAAAAAATTTCATTTATCTCCCCAACCCTTAGCTAAAAACCTGGCAATGACCCTACACTTGATCCTACTTGAGGTAGTTACAACTCGTAACTATAGTCACAGCCACGGTTCCAGATGGATGGCAAAGGGAGTCCTTACTTCAATCAAACTATACATCAAACTTCTAAGTAATAAAATCTAAAAATCACTACGTTACGTAATTTGCCGCTGTGCATAATGCTTTTTACTAACATGTTTAAAATTAACATCGTGAAAAATCAGTTTCCCTCCCTAGTTTTCGGAATGAACTACTGAAAATGTAGAAATAAAAACAATGTTTTATTATTATGCTCCGTGTGGTGATTTTATGTGCTTTTTGGCCAATTTTATGCGAGTCTTGGGTAAAAACTTATATAATTTAAGATACATTTAGTTTTTTATGACTTCATCTAATTCTATATTTTCAAATCATAAATTGTAATCTTATAAAAATCTTAATTTGTTTTTAGAGAAGTTTCAGTGGTCATATTTGGCTTAAGTGCAATTTGCATGCTATGCTACACATTTATGATACGAATGGAACATATCTGGATTCAATTTTTGTTCTTCTCTATACTAGGGTGAGTATCATTTTAAAATCAATTTTCTATGAGTCTCAGTTATTAATTTTTTATCATTTAAATTGTAATCGTTGTATAGAGGAGGTTAATGATCACAATTAAGGAATATCTCGTACGCGAGAGGTTGCTTTCATGTTATAATTGATGTTCTCAACTGTAATAGCTATATACAGTCCCTGGCGAAGTTCATTAGACGCACTATAAGATATGTAAAATCTTAATTATTATGTGACACTATACAGCTTTTTTGGCTTTACGCAGCTGGAACCGGTTTGCATTTGCTTACGTTAATGTATCAATTGGTTAACTTTGTAATGCAATACTTTAAAAATAAATACAGATAGGAATACATGAAAAGTCTCCCGAATAAAACCCCATTACATGTATGTTTAAATATAAAAGTATTGCCTATAAACTCGTGCAAACCATGTCATTATTGAAAAACTATAGTGCGTCCAATAATTTGACCTAATTATTACAATATAATAATATAATGCCTGACGTAATAAATAAATATAATACATCGTCTATCTATATATATATTTCTCTTACACGGCACCAAAAAAAAGCCTCATTACAACTCCCCGAATGGCAGCGTTAGAAAATCGACCAATGATTGCTGCCAAAAATGTCACATGGCAAATGTCACATGAGGTGGCTCAACATATAGCGCTTTTAAAAACGGAAACAATAACCAGAGTGAGCATTATCAGGTTGTTCAATTCAGATTCATGCCCTAAAAACATGATAATATTTAATTTAAACTCAATTAGGAATTAATTAGGCTGGCCTTCTCCATGACTATAAATAAGTCACAAGGTCAGACTTTTGAGAAAATCAGTTTAGTATTGACTAAACAAGTTTTTAGTCATGGACAACTTTATGTTGGCCTGTCAAGAGTTAAGTCATTTGACAGCCTTTCAGTAATTGCTCCAAGATGCCAAATCTATAATTGTGTTTTCAAAGAAATTCTAAATGCTTAGTGTTAATTTCTTAGAGCTTTGCAGAAAAAAATGTTTTTTGGAAAAAATTTAATTGAAACTTCTATTGGCAGTAGGCAAGGGGAACTGCCAAAATCAAAACTCCCCGATTAGAAATGCAGCATGGCGACCTCCACGTGGTATTTCTCGGGTAATGCTAACAGCCATGCATTTTAATTTATTGTATGTAAAACATCCTTATTTTGTTCTAAAATGTTATGTACTTTATCACAAATGTTAATTAATATAGAAATTGATTTCAATAATGCTGATCACCAAAAAATATTTCATTTGGCGATAAAACAAATTTTTGTGTTCTTGAAAATGAAAGACTTTTTGAGGGTTATTATCTCACAAGGAAAAGTTAGGGTTTAAAGTTTATATTTTTAAATAATAAAATTTTTTTCTAAAACTTTCAGAATTTCTAGCATTAACTAATTTATTATACACATTTAGTTGAATTTAGGTGAGTAACTGCAATATTTGATAATTTATTTTGCTAATATGTTTCTCATTTAGCTAATGTTTTGATTTTTTCACCATGTACAATCTAAATAGCTAATATACTTTTTTAAAAGCCAATAAGAACATTGATAGAATTCTTCTACATAAGTACAATACTATGTCTTTGATGATAAAATACTATGTCTTTGATGATAATATACTATGTCTTTGTGCTAGAACATTGTGTTCATTGGCGAGCGAGCGCAGCGAGCCATGGTTCACGGCGTGAACCACATAGGATTGCGTAGCAATTCTTGGGGGTTGGCGAGCGTTAGCGAGCAGGGGGCGGAGCCTCCTAGTATTTATATAATACATCGTCTGAAATTTATCCAATCGTTAAATTTATATTATATATCGCCAAATTTAGTCAATTGATACACGATCGTAAACAAGTACAAACCGGTTTCTGTCACGTAAGAACAATAAAGTTGTATAGTATCACCAGATAATTAAGATTTTACATAGAATCTTATAGGGCGTCTAATAATTTGTCCAGAGACTGAAGTATTTCTTCTTGCTCACAATTAAGAAGGTCCTTGGTTCGATCCTCGGGCCTGGCAAGGTTGACTCAGCCTTTCATCCCTACAGTGGATCGATAAAATGAGTACCAAGCAGGTTGGGGACTCAACTTTGGGGGATCCGCGTTCGGCTGACCACCCAACCGGAACATCAGCTCTTGCACCCCAGACCCAAAGGTCACGAAAACTGAGATGAGCCCTGTAGGTCTTGGCCCTCTATGGGCTGTCATACCACTGAGTTTAGTTTAGTTTTATAGTATACATTATACTGCTATTATGTACCATTTAAACTGAATTTTTTTGACACCTTGACTGTCTTTAGTGTAGATTGACAGGATTTTTTTTATATAATTACAGGGTATTAATGACTGGTTACATTCCGGTTGGCTTTGATTTTGGTGCAGAAATCACATATCCTATTCCAGAAGCAATGTCTGGTAGCTTATTGAACGCATCAACAATGGTATGGAATTAAATATTCTTAACATTGACAAACAGAACAAGCTAAACCATTTAATCAATTTATAATTCTAATTATATCTAATTTTAATTCTGTATAATTTTAATTCTATATATATTTTTAAGTTTCTCAGAAAAATTTATTTAACTTTAAACTTAACATCAGGTTTATTGAGAATTGTTTCGAGAATACACAGGGCTTTTTGTTGTACCACTTTCTTGAGTCAAGTCGCCTCTCCGTAGCTAAACAACCCAAGTAACAATTTTTGATGGCCATGTTGCAGTGCAATTCATGATGGTCCAACATCATTTGATGGTCGGCATCATCCATCATTTTCCATTACGTGATCACGGTTTTTTATATACCAACAAACTACCGTCATTCCATGACGGAAAATGCTACTTTAATAATATGGTGGTTAACCATCAGGAGAAGTTTGACTTTCATGGATGAACGATCCATGATGGTTCCAACTATACATTTTAGTGATGGTTAAATTGGAATTCTTGTTGGTTCTCAGGAATATACCATCAAAACATTTGCTTTTTTTATGTTTTACTATCATAAATCAGTCTGAATTCCTACATTGAGATGATGTTTGTTCGTGATCGTTCTAACATTTGATTTCTAAGATACAACGATGGAAGTTCTTGATTGATGGTCCATAATGGTACAACAATCCATTTCCATGATGGCATTGCTTTCATTTTTAAAGAAAACGAAAACGTGAATTGACATTTTTTGCAGACATTTAGTGTAGAATACTTAGCTTAATAAGTAAATAAAAAGTTTTTAAACTCAAAATTTGTAACACTGGAGTTAAAGATAGAAGTAAAAAGAAAATTGTATTACCTCTCGTATGGTTAAATGTTATTGTAAATCAATAAAATTGTACATCACGTATCAGAAACCATGAATATATGATTTTTTTGCAGGTATTCAGTATCATCCTAACAAATGTTGCATCATCTTTGATACAGTCTTACGGTGATTTCGTATCGAATTTATTTCTTACAGTGTGCATTCTTGTTGGATTGGTATTTGTAGGTAATGTATTCATTTTTATAATTATCTCTTACAGTAAATATAAACTCACTGTGAAATTATAATATGTAAGGTAATATATGTAATGTATTTTCTGCATACATCTTTTATGTAATTTCAGTCTGATTATTATTAATCTAATATTATTTGATTAAACCTTGATATTTTTTAAACCTAGATATTTTTTGAAAAATAATTATTTTTAAAAGAATAATAAAGATCATTTTTTATAATTAACATTTCAGTTGATTAACAAAGACCAAAATATCCTATCTCAAACCCAGCATCTATGGTGAAAATATGTGATAAAACAGCTGAATGGTAGGGTACACCCTAAAGAAAAACGGTAAAAAGTGATAGTACTCCGAGTGCAGCATTCGTAAATTCCTTTTTACCTTAAAATCCATTTTTATAGTAATTTTTAATTGATTACAGTGATTTTACCGTAAATATGACTGTAAAAATTATGATGTATCAGATTTGTTGTTCACTAAGATTTTACGGTTAAAAATATAGCCACTAGTCGGAATTTTTTACAGTATAGCTGCTTTCTAAAAATTAAAATCCCAACTGTTGATGCAGAAGTGGTGAAAAAAATTTTTTTAATATTAATTTCACTTTTTTTGCAAATTGCCATATTTCCGGAGCTTTTTAAGCAAATCAAAAACTTTTTATACCCTGTTTTTAAACTTGTTTATCGTAAGATAATTCTAAGTGAATAAATAATTTTTCATCAATAATTTTTATTATTTCTTTAATAATCGAACGAAATTTTTAAAATGTTAAACACTGAGTTTATTTTAGAGAATTAAAAACTTTCAAATATGACTTTTTTGTAATTTTATAACTCAGAAAATCATATCTTTAGAAGAAAAAAAAATTATAAAGCTTCTATTCACTTCTTTCACATAAATAGCATAGTGGAAGAAAATTCCAAGTGGCATTCTGAAAAAATTAGGATTTAAAAACGTATTATGAACGGTAGAATGCGTAGAAATTTATGTCTCTCTAATGCTAAACGTACTTCGTAAACAGATTTATGATGTTTTTAATATTTTCTAAAAATGACAAGTCTAAATTCTCAAAAACATAATTTGAGACTTTCTTTCACAATTTTAATACCTAACTTTTTTTTATTGACAGTGTTTATGAAATGTGAGCTGAAACGAACCACGGCATCAAATGAAGAGAAGCAAACATGATTCCTATTATGTCATCTTATGCCAATTCACACCATTCATGCCACAAAGGTTAACTAATCTTTGAATAAAAGTCATGTGATACTTTGTCATCCCATTACGAATTACGTACTTGAAAACCACTTATTTTGGAACTGAAGTCAACTTAGATATTGGGAGATCTGCATTTTAGTATCCTACGATAAATAAATAACACTATGCAGCATGAAAAATGTTCTGTAGATGAAGAAATATGTTTCTTGTACGTGTTTGACTAAAAATATTGAATTTGTAATCATTTCTGTTTACCCTGAACCATTCTCCCGAAAATCATCACTTCTTGCTTTGCTACTTTACGTATTTCAACCACACTCGAGGACACAGGACAAAGAAAAACACTCTCATTGACCGTGTCACCATTGTCAACATCGCGACTCTGGCAATGTTTTTGGTGACAAAATCTTGTCTCCAAACTGTGCCGAAGTTTCGCTGCTCTAGATACAAAAGGAAGCAAAATATCAGACAATATACTATACATTTGGCTATTTTCCCTTTCAAAACAAACTATTTTAGTTTTGATACGTAAATCAAGAACATTTCGTTTATACAGAATCACATAGTTTGATCTAAAAGACGAACATTGACACTTATCGAATGCAAGTACACTCTATTTCCCTTGCTTTATTGTTATTTCTTTGTTTACATAGTTGACTGTAAAAAGATGTAAGCAAATTTTATTCTTTATTATCGTTAAATCTTTTCTTTTAAACTCATAAATATCATAACTCAAATGGTTTATTATTCTCAACAGTTTACGAGTTCACGTGACTCCTAGTATATAGTTTGTCTAACGTAAGAACTCCCCTAGCCATTCGTCTGGACCCGTGGCGGTGACTATGGTAACGAGGTATATCTATCTCAAGTAGGGGTGCGAGGTAACTACTTAGGATAGGTTTTGGGTCGGATCGACGAGAGAACGGGAATCTTTTTCATCTGTCTATTGTGTTAGCCCTAGAGTGAAGAGAGAAGCTAACCTCCCTGAAATGAGCTATTCTTGTTTCCATAGCAGCAGAAGGCCTAAGACTTCGTGCCGGGGGGAGTTCTTACCGTAGACAAACAGTACAGGGATTTCCAAAATTCGACCGACACATTCCGAGGAGTTGTAAAAAGCGTCAAGAAGAAGAAAGCTTAGAATAGCTTTGAGAGGAATAATTTCGAGAAAAACGCATTCAAGCTTCGAATCTAGAGGACACGAAAGGTGGAGGTCTGTTGAAGTTTGTGTCTAACTAAATTAAATGTAAACACGGTATTCACTATAAAGAGCTGAGGATCTTTAGAGACTTCAGGGCTCGAACCTATCACATTAAATCACTCTTCCCTGATCAGTTGTTTATTGAATACACCATGCTGAATCCACTAACAGCTGACTCACGCCATGTTTTTTTTAAGCATATATGAAATCTTCAAGCTACTCTGGTGATCATTTTTACGTTACTATAATCTATGAAATAGTGTTAGAAGACACCACTTCAAGCAACCCCAGTAAAAATTAAACAAATAATTAAATTTTTTTGGACACAGAAAATTTCTTCTTATAGTTGTTTTACTGCACTTGTCATAAGCTGCAGGTTTTTTTTCTTCGATTTCCATCATCTTGAATATTTTTTATCGTCCCTATGAATGTCGTTCGAATTTTGGAACAACCAGGTTCGGTTCAATATCGGAATATTGAATGGAATTATGCTCTCAATATGAAATATTGCAAAATATGGTTTGTGTAAAGTTTAGACTTCATATGCTTTATTTAAATAAAAAATTCTTAAGTAATAAACCTGTTTTTAGTTTTCATAGTAATTTGATTTACAAAATAGTATTATTCATTTATCCCTCACTATTTTTTTAAATCAATGCGCGAAATTAAACTTATTTTATAAACAATTCATTTTCTCATTAGAATAAGTTAGTCTTTCCGTATTTTAACATAAAAATCATTTTTTGCCCAACATTTTCGAAATACTACCCCTGTTCCCTTTTATGTCTGAAATTATGCATGAAGGATGAAAATCTAACGGATATCTATTTTACAAAATAGGTAAATTATTTAAAATGTGGAATTTTATTTGTGGAACCAGTAATCTTTTGATTGTTTCAAGTAAACCCAAGTTAAAAATGCATTAAAATTATGTTTGTTTTAAGATAAAAATATTAAACACCCATGCAAGACGATTAAACACAATATCATTTCACTATTACCATTATGAAGTTAAAGGTCGAGGTTATGCAGTTTAACTATGCCGTTAAAGGTAAAAAAATGACATGTTTCTCTTTGGCGTTTAAAACAAGGTAAGAGAAATCAAAAGATTATACAACTGCGTAAAATTCAAAGTGGAATGAATCAGTTTTAACTTAGGAAACGTGAGATAGGTAAATTTGCAACATTGTGTTGATCTCCCCAGTTCAATGTTGACAATCCCACAGTCGCTTTGGTAAATGTCCGAAATATATGGTAGGTCTGTGCCACTGCCTATATTGCCCGGTATTCCCTACACTGATGTTTATTTATGGTTCAGTGCCTATGCCCGGTATACATTTGACCTGTACTCCGAACATTCATGTTTTTCCTAATCTATTCTTAGCAGATATTAAAATATCGAATAAATATAATAATATCAACGAATAAATTAATATCTAATCAGATATAATAAATATTTCGGACATTCACCAAAGCGACTATGTGATTGTTGACATTCATCGGTGAAAGTCGACATTCTCTTGATTTCGGTCCTTCACGGTAACAGATACACCTTGTAGTCTAAAATTCACTCCTCATGCAGCATAAATAGCAAAACCTTTTTTAAAAACATAAACAAATCTAAGCATTAACAGTTCAATAGTGATCCTCCCAATCTACAACTTAATGACAATCATCACTCAGTGATGATCAGAAGTTATTCAAGTCAGCAGTGATCATCAATATGCAACATGATCATCCATATGCAACATATACTCGTAAGTCAGCAGTGATCATCAATCTGTAACATACACTCGTAAGTCAGCGGTAATCATCAACATGCAACATGATCATCAATGCGCAAAATACACTCGTAAGTCAGCAGTGATCATCAATATGCAAGATGATCATCAATCAATATGCAACATACACTCGTAAGTCAGCAGTGATCATCAACATGCAAGATGATCATCAGTACGCAACGTATGCTCGTAAGTCAGCGGTGATCATCAGCCTGCAGGAGGTAACTAATTTAATTCGTGATAAAAATTAAGTCTCATTTGAAAATAAAATAAAAAGAACTGCGATGTAAAAGACCTTGCGGTTGTGCAATCCGTATTTAATGTAAAGATTATCGAGGCAACGTAAAGACTAAATTAAATATCCAAGTCCTATAGTAATCGGCTTGGAAAAATCCCGTTATTCCTATCTACAAATTAAATATTGTTTTCTTCAGATATCGGAGTAAAAAAGAGGCTTAATTTTTTTCTCTCTCTTTTTTTAGTTTTGTTTTTCCATTTTTCGTTTTTTGTTTCAAATCATTTTTGTTTCTTTACATTCACGCCTGGGAAGTCTGGAGACGTGTCGACTTGTTATTTCATATTTGTTTATTTCTGAAGCAAGTGAAGTTCTCAATCAGGTTAATAAAGAATATATAAATGCTAGTGGGCTGCGCCCCCTGCTCACTAACGCTCGCCAACCCCCGAAAATTGCTACGTAATCTTATATGATTTGCTTCGCAAATCAAGCTCGCTTCGCTCGCTACTAACTTAGGTACATTGCAAATACACAATATTCTAAGAATTCAAAACAATCATTCAAATCCATATAACANTCAATCAGGTTAATAAAGAATACATAAATACTAGTGGGCTGCGCCCCCTGCTCGCCAACCCCTAACGCTCGCCAACCCCCGAAAATTGCTACGTGATTTGTGATTATGTGTATTATATGATTTGCTTCGCAAACCAAGCTCGCTTCGCTCGCTACTAACTTAGGTACATTGCAAATACACAATATTCTAAGAATTCAAAACAATTATTCAAATCCATATAACAACTCTTTTTTTTAAAAAAAATTACATATTTTTAGTAAATACTAAGTCATTAAAATAAATTTGAATTCAAATAAATGACATGTAATTCGTTAAACCTATTAGAAATGGGATATAGGATAATTCGTGATATAAATCAAAAATCGTCAAATAATTCGTAATATATAAATTCGTGAAAAAAAGCGCTTTCGACAAAATACTAAAATAGAGATCTATCGACAAAGACTACTCACTTCTGCCTAGCTTAATAGTATGAGATTGCCGCAGGCTGATGCTCTCTGGTTATTTCAGTTTCCGTTTTTAAAAGCGCTATATGTTGAG